GGTTATGTCAGGAGCCTCGTCACTTCAGGAACGGCAGCCCCCAGCTCCTCAGCCCACGGGGCAGCGTGCACCCCGTCAGTCATCCCACTGCAGCGCTGACTGCACCCAGCTTAAAATAGCACCTGAGGAGGAGGAGGGTGTACGAAATTGAGAGCTGTGCCAGCCAGCAGGACCAGAGGCCCCTTCCCAGAGGAGATGCTGGAAGGGAGCCCATGACTGGGTGGTTTGGGTGGGCATCATCACGAAGGCGGCTGTGCCTTGGTGACAAGGAGCTGTTCCTGCATGCAAGGGCAGGGGCTTTGGCCACAGCCCTGACTCCCTGGGTGCTGCATGCCCCAGGGCCAGCTCGGGGAGCAGGGCTCACCATGGCCACGCTGGAGGTGAGGACCCCTTGGCCATTGGGTACCGGCCCAGTATCTGAGTGCTGGAGCCCGGTAGCTTTAGGCTGAGGACTGAGACTGGCAGAAAGCTGAGTGCCCAGAGTTGCCTTCACTCCAGGGAACAGCAGGAGCAGGGGACAGGAGGGAGGACACCTGCAACGGGGTCATCCCAAAATGGCTTGAGCATCCACAGCCCCTCTTGGACATGAGCCTCAGCTGTCCCTGCAGCACTGGGAGCTGCCCTGCACCCTTGGGGTGTCTTGTCGGGGGACACAGAGTGCAGGGTCATCCGGGGTGCACCATCCAGCCCGGCACTGTCTCAGCCTGGTGCACACAACCCGATGCACCAACGTCCTTAGCTACCCGGGTCACATTCGAGCCACCCACAGGAGACACCCACCCTGGGTACCTCAGCTCACTTCTCACCGCTATTCCGGGAGCCTGCAGGGAGTCCTGAATTGCTCATGTCTTTCTTGATCTTACACCCACCTACGCGTGACAGCTCAGAGGAGCCCTCAAAGTGCATGTGAGGAACACAGCACGCTCGTCAACCCACTCCCCCTGGCGCAGAGGTGCGAACGAAGCCCGCACGAGCCAGGCAAAGGCAGCCAGCAGCTTTCAGCAAGCTGGCAGCTGCCCCCGAGGCCCCCACACCGCCGCG